AATAATAATAATAATAATAATAATAATAATAATAATAATAATAATAATAATAATAATAATAATAATACTGTTACTACAAATATTTTCATGCTTGACGTAATAAATCTCCTTATTTTATCTACGAAAGAATAACGATAACAACAGTGATAGCTACCAGTGATGTACACTTCTTAATCCTCAACGCTGTTTTTTTCGTTTCCTTGGATATTACAATTACATTGAAGATCTCCATGTTTTTAACCTTTGTACTTTAGGAATATAAGTTGTCTGTAAACCTATAATTATATAGTTATTGTATGTAGTTATAATTAGCAAAAGTAATGCTGTTAAGTTATATAGTTATAATCAGCAAAATAATGCTGCTACTGATATTGATTTGGTCAGGGCAAATAGAGCTGTGATCTGAAATCTGATTACGTTTCGACAATTGTTCAAACAGGTATAAAAGAAAACACACGCCGGTGAATTCATTTCGGAACGGAGTCGGTCTCTTCTGCTCCAGCTGCGTTGTCAGCTGGGGCTGAGATGCTCTTGACTCTGTGGGAGCACCGTGGACCGTGGAGCCAACAGCGTCGCCCTCTGGCCGATCCGAATAGGTTCTTTTGCTCCGAGAGCTTTCTGTCACAGTGCGCAGGTACCACCGGACTATCAGAATGTTTTCCTTCGTTTATCTTTCGCAACCATCTGTTAGAAAGCTGCGAATCCTTTCATTTCCGCGTCGATTAGCTTCGACAATGAACTGAAAACCATCACAGCCCCTTGTTGCTGAGAGAACAATCCATATCCCCCTTTCATATTCCGAGCATGTTGTGATGAACGGAAGTTTTCTCAAGCTGTTTTCTGCTCAGGGGGAGCTAGCTGTAACAATGGGCACAGGGGTTTTACTTAAAATGGATAATCGTCATCCTTCGGGTTGTTTTATAATTATTCTCGTCTGGAGCATCTGGAGTCCATGTTATAGGACTTCGAACTTTCCAATAAGTACTGAATTGACCCTTAATGACTTAATTGCCCCAGTCGCTGCAGATTATTAATGATAATTCAGGCGTTGTCTGAAGGAGCAAAGACTCCACGCAATTGAATCCATGGAGTTCGTCATCGCTGCACCAGGGCATTATGCTCACAAAGTGGTATACATTTTCACTGGCCACTAGAGGGCGCCCACGGTAGGCAGGTGGATTCGTAAAAGAAAATCTAGCTGTTAAGTCAAAGCATCACACTCAAAGAGATCTGTGGCCTCTACCATACATCAGAGCAGTGTTCCCTAGCTCTGGTCCTGGAGGAACACGGTGTCTTCTGGGGTTTGGTCCAGCTGAGTTCTTCATCGCAGGCTGATTTATTTCATTTCCTGTTTGGGGCTACATCTGTGAATTTGTTTTCAGCTCTTCAAGGGCAATATGGGGCTCTGTTATCAACACTGTACCAATTTTTGAGTTTCAGAGCTGCCCGCATTCACCAACTGGCCTTCAGCAGGAGTGAAAGACACTCAATTTGTCTGATACAGTGTCACTCCCACCTGTGTCTGTTCATCATCAATTGATGAACCAGTAAGAGCCGTTTAATCAGAGGTAACAGCCAGCAAACTGCGGAGAGGAGACGCTGCATAAAGCTCTGTGTCCTGACGCTGTTAGGAACGTTGCTTTGAAGTGGGGTATTTCTGACACGCAGGGCTGACTGAAGAAACAGGTTAAATACAAGTTTTCAACAAACAAGAAGATCAATTAAGTCATCAATTAGCTTAAGGAGATTCAACTGGAATGAAAACCTGTTTCCTCCAGGACCAGAGCTGAAAACTCCTGCAGCCAAGGACGGCGATATAGTGGAAATAATAAATGACATTTATTTTCATCCCCAACACGAATCTTTTTGAACGCAGAATCAAACATAAGACGCACTCAACAAACCGCGGTGAGATGCACAGTTGTTTTTTGGGTCCTGTACATTAACATTTGCTTAATTTTGCACACAAAATGCTGTCTCTTATTTATCATTGTCAGATATTGGATATTGGCATGTTGCATTTGATAGAAATTCAAATATTTATAATGATAAAACATTATTCAAATAGTAGCTGTATATTAATGGAAGTGGTAAACACTGCAGGTGAACCAGACCTGGATAAGCAGTTACTGAAAGTGTTGTTACTAAAAGAACTGAATGCAAAGAGCTGAAGAGAATACACTTCACAGTTTGTCATCGAAACCTTTCAATTAAAAGCGGCACATGGAAACAGTGTAAGTGCACAAATGTCTGTGCAGTGAGAAAGACTGGGGCCCAAGACTTTGAACCGCTGGACAGAAGGATTGGTAGTGTAATTTCATCAAGCGGGTAATTAAGCAGTAACCCTCTGTAAAATTTTATAGTATCGCTGAGAGCCAGGGTGCTGGAGGCAAACTGTTTACCTTATTAATAGCAAATTCCAAGCAAAAGAATTTAACGGCAATGTGACAGAACTGGGCACATGCTACAGCACATGGTTACCTGGCTCGTTAACTCCTTCTCTTTTGGCAATAAATCCTCAGCGGTCGTCTCGTACGCTGAAGCCAACAACACCGTGGCCTGTCTGAGACAAGCTTGACTCTGCCAGTCTCTGCTGCTACCTGTTTCTTAGTGTTTCACATGCAACAGTTTAAAGCTGCTAAAGGTCTGTGCATTTGCCTACATGGACCTGCAGTGTTACACTTCATCTTCATTATTCCCATGTGAGTGATCAGTGCATTTCATGGCATATGACCCTGGAAAAACACACACCTTGTCTCTTATTTCCAAGCAAATTATTTTCAAGCCAACATACAATGTGCATGAGTCTGAAAATCCAGAAGAATCTCCTTTCTTGTGGAATCCTATTCAGGATATAAGTAGATAAAAAGAGAAAACATTTTTCCACTTGGTTTGCTGATTTTTGAGAGTATGTTTCAGCGAAGAGCTATTTTCATGACAATTACCCTGAAGCATCAGACAATGCATCGACTGACATGGTAACTAAACTATCTCTTTTCTCTAGAGCAGGACTGGAATGGGAATGGAAAAATCCTCAGGAAAAGCTTGCCTTGTGATGCCTGTTCTTTACCTTATATATAAGTCCAGCAAGGACCAACTGAGGAAACCTGACTTAAATGTATATAATTCTCAATGGGCTTCTAGGATCAATGCAAAGGCCCAAACTAGACACACCAAGTCATGAAGGTTTCCATGATATATTTTAATTTAGACGTACATAATGCACATGATCAATGCAGGTGAAAGCCTGCACTTATCAGTTGTTTGGTTGCTCATTTGGTTTCTATACTGGCATTCTAGAGCAACATGGCTAAAGTACCTGGCTCAAGGGTGCAGTAGGACCGGATTAACAAGCAGCTTTACTGAGTGACTTTGTTGCAGCCACTGCTCAATGCAGGCCCAATCCATGTTTAAAGAGATGGTGCCATAAAAAAATGAAGATGTCCTCAGTAAAGAGGTCAAAGTGAGGGATGCTCGGCTCTTCACAGTGCTGAAAACCATCTAGATTTTCACAGGCACTGGTCACGGCCCTCTGCAATCCGGACAGTGTTGAACTTTGCTGCTAAAATCTCAGAAGGAATTCATTATCCTGTTAGTCAGTTTGTTTCACGGAGCAGCGGGGATTTCCAGGGAAGCAGGAAAGTAACTTTCCCACCAAATGAAATAACGTAATTTGAAGTTTAACACCAAAAACTATTCCCCGCGAGTTTCAACAACTTCGTCTTTAACAGTTTTGGGTCCTTCCCAACACTTTCTGCTCTGTCTGTTTATTGAACTGCAGTGTCTCTCAGCATCCGTACTGGATAATGGCTCTCATCTGCACCACAGCATTGCTTGTATCCATGCTGAATTTTCCCTGGGGAGACCCCTTATATAGCCTCTGCAGCAGTTGCTAGGGAATTTCCAAGAATTAGGTCACATGCTCCATGCACTGCCTATTACTTCAGATTGCATATTCTTCTTTTGAGCACTGAAGACCCCATAGGTCTATTACAGGAAGATTTAGAGGAATGCGTTATTGAAAAGTACAAAACAATATTAACTACACTTTTCAAAACCAGCCTCGACATTCAATTCAATTGGAACTCTACAACTCGTTAATACATTCCTTAATGATGTAGTGAGTAGTTGTGGCACACTTCATATTGACCTATCAATATGAATAATACATAATGTTGGAACAGACCATAGTTAGACCAGATAAGTCCGGCACAGGTCACATATTACATACCTCTCAGTATATAGAATATGGGATTGAGAGAGGGATTTAGCTCTGGCTCTGTTGGGAAACCTATCAGCTACATACAACATGGTCAGTTTCCAATACCAGCTTCAATGGTCTATAATATGATGCATGACTTTCTTGCTGAACGAATGGATTCAAACTTTAAATGCATCAAAGGAGAAAAAGCTCCAAAGAAATGGACTCATGGGGCTACATGTGGCATTGACCAACATTGGAGACTGAAATGACACTTGAATCCAGCAGATTTCTGCTTTATTCTGCCTAACAGGTTGCATAAAAGCAAGTCTTTGTTTCGGCAGTGAGCAGATGAGACTCATAGTCACAAAGTCCAGATCCACACCAAAGCGACCCATTTCTGGTCTTGCAGGTTTCCACTCTAGCGCCTCGCTTAATAGCCTAAATCAGCTTATTTGGACTAATTGAACAACTTCTCCCAGCTCTGTGGGAGATGCTGCTTTATAGAGACTGAGGAAGCCAGCCCCAGAGCTGGACGATCCTGATCTATGTGGTAGGCACAATACAGATGTGAAGCAGTGGTCTCTGGCAGGTCAAAGGGAGTATAGTAGTAAGATACTGGGGTTTGGGAGTTAGCTGATTGACTCAGTTGTAGATGGGATTCTCACTCCTTAAAAATCCTTGGATGTGCAGATATACTCCTCTAAATGAAAGCGGAGCTTTTCACAAGATGGAGGCCACAAACGAGCCATCTCTCGTTCATATGATAAAAAAAAAGATTTGACCATGTCTGGTGCCATGTATCGTTTAGAGACATTCTCAGTATCTCTGTTACTGACAGCATTGCTCCCATGAAAGAAAAGCAAATTCAAGCATTCCCTTCTGTAAAACACTTTACCGAACATGTCTGGGGGGGGAAAAAAACACATTTATATCTAAGCAGACGTCACCATAAAAAATACAAATGAACTTCCTTTTATTCAGTTATTAATTATTTACAAAGTCTGACGTGAGGCGTGCGTTCTGTTTTAATACGGTTTTTTTTTATTCCAATTATTCAAATTTGCCTTTGCTCCCAGTTAATTGAAAGAGCTTTAACTAACCTGGCCTCAAATTCCCCAACCTTATGTAAGTCGAAACCCTTTAGCCTTGTTTATTAAGCAGCGCAATTAACAAAAACGGAAATCTCTCCACGGGAGACGCGATTAGTAAACAACGCCTCGCTTGCGAAGGGGTAGCCCGCTGTGGGACTCCGGCTCCGCGCGTCCACGCCTTTCCTGTCCACTAGGGGGCCTCCGTGCAGTACGCCTCTGGTTTTAATTAGGCCCGCTCAACAGCATTTACTCATGACAGCAGTCATTCATTTTCACCGTGTTATTTCATTATTTAAAAACACAAAATCATTCAGGGCTCGCAATGTTAAGTGCTCCCTGTCGCTGCGAATTCTGGAAAACAGGGACCCGGGCTTTCTGTGTCATTTTCGACACTCTTCATGATGGAAGAGCCACGTGGATTATGGAGCAAAAGGTAGTTTTAAGTTAAAAGGCTGTGATAAAAAAAAGAAATTGAGAGAATATTAATTTAATGTCTGAATTGCAATGACATACAATTATTTGTTTCATGATCGCGACAGCCATTAATTTAAAGACCGAATAAAGAAGTGCGATAGCAGGTTTCTTTTTCCTTAATGAACGAGTCGTGTCGGCACACGCTATATCTTTTCTCGCACTGTCTACTCGAGAGCCATATTTCCCCCCTTTAATTTTATATATATTTTCCCTTCTGACTTGTCCAAGTAACGTACACACAACACCACACTCCCTTATCAAAATAAAATTCTCGCGTCCTTTTTGTTGACACATCAACCTCCCCCCATAAAAAAACAACAATCACTAAACTATTTCGTGGAAAAAAAAAAACTCTAAAATGACGAGTCGACGGTTTTCGGTAGCAGCTGGACTCCCGTGTCCTGTGACTGAAGAGTGGACACAGACAGGCCCGGCAGGAGACGCGCCCTTCAGGCCAGAGGGACCCGCTTTGCCTCAGAGCGCATTTCCGTGCTCCTGTCTGCCGAAGCCTCGGCCTTCAGAGACCCCGTCTTCTGAGATTTCTTAACTAATTAAAGGAGCAGATGTGCTGAGAGGAGAGAAACAGCCCCGCTTACTTACTATAATCATATTTGCCAGCACTTCACTAAATAAAGTAGAAAATGCAGTCTAATCACATTGCTCCAGCCACTAACCACAGTTTGCTGGCTGTACAGCACAATGTGAGCCCAGGCTTCTATACAGTGTGTTTGACAGACTCTGCTGTAAGCCCTCTGTTACATGTAATACAATTAAGCCCCATTGATTTTTTTTCCAAGTCTTCCTCTTCATTTAATGCAAATTTGCACAATTCCCAAACATGTAAGCGAACCAGAAAAAAATCGTTATCAAGAAGCTGTGCTCTAAATCAGGGATTTCTCATCGGATGCGGATGTGGCCCTGCTCTTTTACTTTTCTAAATTTATGCACAAAAGAACGGATATTCACAAGAAACAACTGGAAACTGAAGTAAATGCAGAGCCATGTCGATTCAGACAAACATTAACGTGAAAATCATTTTAGCTTAGGTTCCGTCATTCATCAGAGTTGGGAGTATTCACTGAAGTTCTGCAAAATAAGCTATTCTCATTGAAATTGACCCATCTATTAATGTTCATATGCAAAAGATTCCTTGAATTGAGGAAAGAAGTAAAATCTGTACCAGTACTGACATTCTAATCACTACAAGTGTGTTAATAGCAAAGGCAGTACAGTGGCACAGTGGTTATCATTCCTGCCTCACAGCACTGGGGCCCTGGGTTCAGTTCTGGATTTTTAATGCTAGTTTGAGTGCGTGGGTTTCCTCTCACAGTCCAAAGACTGCTGGTGGGAGACCTGACTTCTGGGAAAACTAGCCCTGACGTGAGTGTGTGTGTTTGTCTGGCAACAGACTGGTGTCCCGTCCAGGGAGTATCCTGTCTCGCCCCTGTTGCTTTCTGGGATAGGCTCCGACTCCCAGCAACCCTGTATTGGGTAAAGCGGTTCGAAAATGGAGGAATGTTAATATCAGGAATTGATCATGACAATGTGGGGTCTTTCTGAGGCACTCTGGCCACATTGAAGTGTACTGTATCTCTGTTTACAGGAGAGGGATGCAAAAAAACCCTCAAAATACTGTCCATCCAAGCAAGAAATACTTTAACAGAATGGCTAGTGTGCTGATCTCCTAACCATTCCATAAAGAGGACCTTAGCCGGTAGGACCGCAAGTCACATTTCGAATCAAGTGCAATGGCTTGTTGGAACTGGTGTTCATGCGTGTCCATCACAAAGGTCAACCACACACACCAGTCAAAGAGGCCTGATCAGGGGAATCTCACTTGAGTCATATTTTTAAAGTGCTGTATGAAGACTGATAGTTTTTCTATGAATATTATCTTGAACTTACTGAGTTTTATGTCCATAGTTCTTACTGAAAGGGCTGAACCGGGAGACAACGTGCCCTGGACGACATCAGAAAAGAAGGCAAGAGGTTGTTCCTAAGGATGAGATAAAGGTCGCTGAAACAACGTTCAGAGGTATGTGCTCAAAGCAACCCCTTTCTAAATGTAAAACTCGCAGGCCTTCCCTCCTTACAGCTAAACTCGTGAGCGTGTTCTGCCCAAATCCTCAGCAATGCTGATTTGAATTTTAATGAAAAACATAACGCAGACACAGAGAATAACTCTCTCGTGAGGCGAAGAACAGAAATTCAGCTTCTTATTGACTTTCTCAGAGAGGCGCAGTGAGGTAGTCCTACAGTACGTCCCGACTCTCGAGAGTGAAGAAGATGGAGTAAGAGACGTGACATTGCCGGGGTGAGAGAGGTCTGCAGTCAGAGTGTTCTTTCTCTGCTATTAATTAAAAAAAATGTCAAAAAAGTATTTTGCTCTAAGAAAACACTTCTTTCTCCCTGCACATGGACTCTGAGCTGCTGATGAAGACTAAGCTAAGCATTTTGCAGGTTTGCAAAACAAGCCAATTAATCAATTATTTAGAGCATTGATTAAGGGATTAAAAAAACAACTGCAAAAAGGCAGTACTCTTTTTTTTTTAAAGTTATGCCCTTCTGGGTGAGAGCTGGAACGTTTGGACTACACAGCTAAATTTAATCCCCTGGAACATTTTTTTTTAATTTTATAAATAAACAGTCATTAAAAATGTCAGACGAGTATTATAAATTGTCTCTGGAAAACATAAGATGCACAACGTCATATAAGTTGTCGTTCATAAATTAAATATTATTTTGAACCCTTTGAACAAAATCGATTCACACAAAGGTATGGCTTAACTCTCTACACAGTCAGCCTTGTTCTGCAGCAAGATGCATTCTTGCTTAGTGGGTGCAAATGGAAAACAAGGGACCAGCTTTTTCATGAGCATCAGGATGACTGCAGGCTACAGAAACAGTGCAGAAGCAGGAGGGGGGTTTGTCAGTCCAGGAATAACGATGCACTGGGGGATTCAGCTAAGTAGTTTGATCAACACATTGCAGGATAGCCCCCCTTTCTGATGGACTGCTGATGCGAAAAACCTCAGCATCGATGAATATTAATTAAGTTAAACTGGTCTTGCAGTGGGGTGGCATTGTGAATCAGTGGTTAGCGTTGCTGCCTCACAGCGCCGGGTTTCTGGGTTCAATTGTGGATATGGGGTGCCTTCTGGGTGGAATTTGCATGTTCCCCCCATGTTCCCGTGCGTTTCCTCCGGATGCTCTGGTTTCCCCCACAGTTCAAAACCATACTAGGAGGTTCTTTGCCCCAGTGTGAGTGTGTGCGTATTTGTGTGGGCCCTGTGATGAACAGGCATCCCATCCAGGGTGTATCCTGCCTTGCACCCGTTGCTTGCTGGGACTAATTCTGGTTCTGCCCCAACCCCTAAATTGGAAGAAGCAGTTCGAAAATGGATGGATACATCCTACAACTATCCTCTCAAAATGCTACCCGTTTCAATCTTGCCTGGAATTAAAAATGTTAAAAACACATACAGTACAACGTCAGGGTGTTATGGCGAGCTGTCACTTCACAGCCCTTGGGTCCCAGGCTCTGTTCGGGCTTGGGACACGTTGTGAGTGGAGTTTGCATGTTTCTCATTCCATAGGCTGGATGTCTTTGGTTCCCTCACACCTCCCAAAGGCATACTGACTGGCATATTGGCACCTCTAAAGTATCCCTCTGTACTTCCAGTTTACTAAAACCCAATTGAACGCGATGGGTCTGGTGACCTCCCTCTTCTCCTTTGGAGACTTTCTTACTTGCAAGACTGCGTCCCATCTAGGGCAGAGCCCCACTGTGCAAGTCATAACTCCAGGACAGGCTCTATTAGCTGTGGCTCTTAACAGCAGACTGCTGATAAAGGATAGGATACAGAGATGCAATGTGTGTTGTTCTGCTCAACAGCTGTGCCATGAAGAGTACGCACCATGAAGCAACGAAGCCAGAAATGTGTGCAAATGGGACTGTTGGACCAATGGGACCATGTTTATACATACAATTTGAATACACCTGTCCACCATGTTTATTGTAATAAACCACTGCTGATGGATAACAGTGATGTCAATGCCCTGTGGCATGTCCAGTCACCGTGCATGTCCTTACTCAAAATTTCATCGGGCTACAGCTCGAGCCAGTGACCCTCCAGCTATAAATGAACAAACGGTACGTTGTGCTTGTGTTCAGAAGTGTACAGTTTTCATAACGCAGGTGCTAGAACAGACCTGCTATCTTTGTAAGTGCCCTGCTCATTCACTCAACAATTCGTCTTGCCCCTACTTCTCCTCTCCTGTAGCTGATAATATTGTGTCCTTTCTCTCTTTTGGCCTTAAACTCCATTATCTACTTCTCACAGCCTCCTTAGAGTTTAACACTGTGAATGCAGCATCAGAGATGGGGAAGAGAGCTCAACACAAACAGTGTTGGGATTGACAACACCAAGACACCTGGGATACATTGGTGTCTCAGTTTGGATCCAGTGTGGGCTTCAGGGGAGAGACTGCAGGGCTTTCATGTTTAGCACCAGCTTGAACATGATATATGAGTAACCAGAAGCCTTGTGTCTGCAGTTTGCTGGAATCCCACAGCTCCTTATCAGAGTGGAGTTTTAGGGTCACGTTATCTATTTTAAGACATCACTTTAGTTAGCACTTTTCAACAGAGCCCTTTAATACTAAATTACTTCCTATAAGGATGCAATACAACATCACTAATTGCCTGAAAACTAAGTGACAGGAAGCTAATTTGCCCATTATCTGGGTCTTAAAACAATAATGTTATTGTCCTTTTCCAGTTATTTACTGCTGTAAACTTCAAGAATTGACACCCCTTGTTGCGTTATTCATATTTTGTTGTTTTTGAAAACCAAATATAAAAACTGGCTCACAAAAAGGATTTGAAATCCTATGCTCACCTTTTACGTTTTTTTTTTTTGTTTCCGTGGATATGTTGTCAATTGGATATGTAAGGTCAAAATGGAGAAGAGCTCTGTGGTCTCCTTTTAAGTTTAGTTCCACCAATCAGGTCTCCCCACAGATATTCCACACATGCAGAAAGGAGAAACTAGACATCCATTGCTTGTCATAAAGAACACAGGCAAGCTTACAAACGAGAGGACTTGTTTCTTTGGGATTTACAACTCTAAGAATTTCATCCAGCCATTTGTTCAAGGCTCCCAAAGGAATCTGTCTGTTCCAGTCACCCACAACTTTTTTATTGCACGAAGGGTAGCAATATCCTTTAGGTAACATTGAAAATTCCTTATTAAGATAATGATGACCTGCCTGTCACCCAATAGGAGATGTTGTGGGAATGTCCAATATGAGGCCCCCGACACATCACGTCTTCGCTGCTGCTGTCCGATTTCAGCATGATCCTACCCACCGGAGAGGCGAGGCGGCACACGTCACGCCAACAGTGAGGTCAGCCTGGGGCGCTCTGGCATGGAGAACCTGGGACTGTCAGAGTATCAAGAAACATGATATAAAAATCCTATAGCTTGCAGCACGGGATAGGTGACAGACTGACCGATGACTATAATCCCTCCTGCTGGCTGGGTAAATACAGTTATCATCTCTAGCAGGCCAGGCACAGGATTACTTACAGCCTTGACGTCTCTCGTGTCACACCTTCAATCTGGACATCTAAGCCTGTAACGCATTTCAGCTTCCTCTTTCTATCTTTAACTGTAGCCACAGACACCTACACTGCACTTCTGCGCTAAATCTCGGGTGTATTATCTCTGCTCCTTAAGCTGAATTGCTTGTATCCCTACAGATCGTGTACCGGAACACGTTTCCTTCGGGCAGCAATAATATGAACACTTTATTTAATTTTAATAACTGTATTGATTTCTTTTACCAAAGGATGCAATTGCTTTCTTGTACTGGTAAAGTGTATCGAGCAAGAATATAAAAGCTTCATATCATCCAGTACTAAATTTAGTCCGATTTTTTTTCTTCAAAAGGAGTCTGTTCCTGAACTGGATTGGCATATAAACGGATACTGTTACAACATACACTCAGTTAATCTTTTGTGTTTTCTTCTTTATCATTAGGAGTTGAAATAGTATATATATATATTTTTAGTTTTTCTATAGTATTGTCATATTTGTGGGATTCATTTACATTCTGCACCATGTAGGGACATACTGTACAGTATATAAGTTATATGCGTAGAAAGTATGAAACAATAACTTTAGAAGCAAAAAAAAAAGAACATGCAGTGAGACTAAAAAAAAAGAAGAAAAAACCTGTAAAACAGTTCCATGAAGAATGTGATGAAAAAGGGAGCAAGTGTTGAAAACAGGAAAATGAGGAAAATAAGGTTGTCAAAGATCAGATTATGCAGGTGGAACTGAAGTTTCCGGTAAGTGACTTATAGACATCGATCCCAAAAAGGGCTCCTGGTACCTTTCATCCATTATGGAAAAGGCCTCTGCTTTTTTTCTTTTCTGGGTTGAGTACGAAGAGACAGAGAACAGTAATTCTATGTGTCTTCCTTGTAGCTGTGGATGTTGAAATCTCCAGGGTCCATTTTTTAATGTCTTGTTAGCTACAATTATTTTTCAGTAATCCTACTGTAGTTTTATGCTATTTCTGATGTCCCTTCTAGCAAAACACACTGGTTTGACACACCAGGAGAGTTCCTCAAATGACAATGTTAAAGTGCATCGAGTCAAGAAGCTAGGGTTATTATCTTTGGCCTATTATATTATATTATTGTTCTTTTCTCAGATGTTTAATGAAAATCAATGCACATAAGATTTTATGTAATAATTGCACAAAATTAGACCCGGTCTCCCTAAACTGGAAACTTACCTGATTTTTTGTGTGCAAGGAATCTGAATCCCTCTGAGGTTGGCAGTTATAGCATCTTTCCATGATTGTGCAGTGACAGTGATATACAGTATTACGTGTCTTTTGTTTCATGTTCAACCTGAACACAGGATGCACTCTTTCCAACCTCCTGTTCATGGCATATTGATAGAGTCAGGACCTGATGGCTCATTATTCTCATTATACATAGCCAAAGCAGTGAAGAGTTTGCGTGAAATGTCCCTCTCTAAAGTGCAGCACACTTCCTTGTAATTTGAAACTCAACTACTTTCACACCTGTGGTATTTCACAAAGGGAACAGTGTGCATGTCGGGGCGCAAATTAAACAAATTAAGTTTCTGAATCTGCAACGTAAGATGTTTCCAATGAAACTGCTTGCACCAAACTGCAAAAAGTCTGTTGCCTCTTCATTTCAAAAATGGAGTAAAGCTGGGAGAATAAGGCCAAACACTCAGCCTAGATGGGTTTCTTTTGATTCATGGGTGCATTCAATGTCAGTGGAGTTATTTCTATTGACAGCCCTATGATAAACGTGCACAATCAACAGCTATAAAGTTGATGGCATTGCAGGAACACCATAAAGCTGTAACATTCAGGACTACTAGTGGCAGAAGGCCTTTCAGACCTAATCACTTCTTACTGACATAGGTCGTATATTTCCTAGAGGAAAATCATAATGTCACAGAAGGCAAGGGATGGAAACACATTATGGTAGCCAGTGTAATTACTGAAAAAGTATACACACGGTATTAATCTGTATTCATAGCAATTTGCTTTGGGCAGTGATCCTTTGTAACACCTCATCCACCCGTCCTGCCTTCATCAAGCAGGCAGAGAGAGTGAGGTCCTGTCTGCCCCCAGCTCTCACTCCTGGTGGTGCACGATGCAGCGAGCTGCAGAGGTCTGCGGAAACGCTCGCCGTTTGCGCAATGAAGCACTTGTGTCGTACCCTCGGGAATGAAGGTCAGGAGCGTGCTCAGGCAGGACGGGCAGTTTCCATCCGATGCCAAGCATTTTGGGCTTTGAGGGGAGAGCAGAAAATAGGAGAAAATACCAAAAGAGTGTTGCCTGATTTTAGCAAGTCATTTAAAGAAGGCGTGATTTATCATTCCAACAAGAAAGCAGTTTATCTGATGAAGGACAGCTCTTGTTTCTGGGCTTGAATGCTGTGCTGAGAGCCTCTTAAATTTTTCCGAAGAAGGTAGAGCTCTGCATTCTTGCATCAAAGTAGGAGAAGTCGGAAATAATTAAGAAATATTTGCTTTCATATAGTGTAAGATTATACAAGGATTATACTGTACATTCCTACTTAAACCTCATGCAACATGAACAAACATTTACTGTGATATTGTATAGCCCTGTATTATGCAAATCAAGTGTTATTTTAAATAAATGCTGCAGCTTGAGAGACATACAGGTAAGAATTGAAATCAATAAAATAGAGCCATTCAAAATCTGCAAATGATCCACACGGAGCTGTTTATCAAGCAGACGCTGCCTGTGAGCCAAGAGGTTTTTTTTCAGTCTTAAGTATATTTAGGAAAATCTCTCTTAATCCTGCTCCTTTTCCATAGTATGCACTGCTCACTGAGAACACGATACACTTAGAAACTGAAGAAAACAGGTTATTCATACAATGTAAGTTTTCCTTCAGAGGTAACAAATGAGTCATAGTTATCTTGGGAATTATGACAATGAAATCATTAATGGTTTCTTATTTTATATTGTAAAACCTAATGTTCAGCGATTATCTTGTGTTAGAATGTCCTCCCTCAAGAACATGACAGTTATTTCTCATCTTTTGCTGTCCCTTATTGGAAATAAGCCCAATATGTCTTATGAAATGATGCTGCAGAAGAGATAAAATCTATTTGGAGCCAGTATGTTTTTCCTGAAGGACTTTTCCTAGCCTTTTCTGAATGCAAAACACTTCCTTTTATTGCCAAAAAGAACAAGCTATGGTCTGATAAATAATCCCGCGATGAGGGTTCTTAAGAAATGTGCTCCTAATTAAAACATTTAAAAATCAAGTCAAAATGTATTGAAAGGGTTACATCCCTCCGGTGGTGGAAACCAAATTAACATAGTGGTTTAACATGATTTCTGGATGACAGGTAGCTCCATAAGCACATTTATGTAGGGTGCTGTCCATAGTTAATTAAATCTCAGCAGAATAATACACAATTTGCGCTCACACCAACCCCATTAATAACACACCAGTCGAGGTGGGGGGTGTTTAATCAATTCTGTTCATTAGGAACAATGTAATCCTTAAAAAATGCTGTGTTGTCAGAAGTGCATTTTTGTGCTTTCTAGAGGGTTTGTGTTTTCCTACATTTCTAAAATTTGTCATATGCTTATTCAGTGGGATCTCACTTGATTTGTTTAACAACGAAGTGCTGAACAATGTGATGAGACGGAAACAATTTGAAAGGCTTCTTCATTACTGTAATGACACACATTTATGTGAATCAGGATACTTAAAGCACTGGTGTGGAACATAAGAGAAACTGATTAACTATAGAGATTGCATTGAGTAATTAGGTACAATCTCTATTTTTCTGCATTGGGCAAAAACATCAGGAAACAGCAACATACTTTATGTCTTAATGTAAGAAAATATATGGATGGATGTCAAACAAGAAAGCCAGTTCTGTTCCTCACATGGGCTGCAGAATTGTAATCCAAGGACCTCACACAAAGAGAGTGGAGTAATTCACTCAGTTTACTCTCTAACAGGTGTGCAAAGACATGTCTCTGGTATACATTTTGGACTGACAGCTCCTTCCATTTCCAGCTGTTAACTGTGTTTCTGCTCTCTGGACAAGACTCCCTGAAGTCCCCGTCTTTCAGGATCAAGAAACTCATTTATTTGAACTTGTCTCTTTGCAGTGCCGTGCCTGCTGCTCACTGCCGAGACTCTGCAAAGTCTCAGCAGTTTAGACCTTGGTCTTCTGAGGCTGTGCGAGTGATCTCAGAAAGCCCCAGTAAACAGCACATGGAAACGAGCGTGTGTGTAGCTCTAAGAAACCATCATGAATCCCACTAGTTGCAGATAAAGATTTTGCAGGTTGGTCTTTTGCAAGGAAAAAAATGATGAAGAGCCCTTAAATCTAAATCCCAGTGGTCTTTTTCTTTCTGCCCTAACATAAAGATCAAGTGTGACGTGTGATTTGCATTTGCCTTTCATCAACAGGTAAATGAAAATGCCTGCACATTTTCAGCCATATGCAAATACATTTACATTTCTTAAACTAACATTTTCTTCTTACAAACTATCATGTTTTATAAGAATAACATTTAAAATGATACTTTTTGGATAACACAAAAGAACAGAACACTCTTAGACATTTACCGAGCTAAGCATTTATTTCTTTTTAAATGTTACCATAATTAGATTCCCCTAACTGTCTTGCCCTTTTGTAATTTATATGGCGGGTTATTACAACCAACTGCTGTGAAAATAAGCAAAAAGACTCTAATGATTTAAGCAATAATTTTAAAGGTAAAAAAATGCTTTAAGACTACAGAAAGTACTACTTAATACTAGTGAATAATACTGAAGAAAATGCAAGAAAGGAGTTAAACCAAGAATGTAAGAACAATTTTAAGAAATAATAAGATAACAAGCTAATTCAAATATTTTAAACTTCATAATCACAGTTGGCTTTATCGTCCTAACCCTTAAATCAGTGCACTTCATTTTAAGGTGAGCTGGCAGTTTTAGTTTCTCTGTGTGTGTTGTTTCAAGATGTCTCCATTCATAGAGCCCTCCTGACAAAGAGAGGTACAGTACGTTATCTAAGGCTGCCCACGCAGAAAGATGAATATAACAAATTGCTTTTTTTTGTGCCCACTTCTTCTTTCAAACCCATTAAGGCAGTTCTTATTCAAATATATTATCCAGTGGAAGAGATCATTTCGGTGCTCGGACACATCTCCTGCAACGCTGTGCCGTAGCAAAGACACAAGAAAATGCAAGCTCCATTGATTCACCTCGGGGAATAATTCCAAAAGATCAAAAAGTGCTTGTGTGCAGCCCATTTCCTGTGGGAGGAGCATGGCAGCATAATCAATCTATGGATGCATTGTAAAATCAATGCGCTGTATAATTAGGGCAATCCAAGGGTAGAAAATCTTACCATGCATTTCACTGCGCCTGCAG